TGCAGTTCCATGCCAACAATGGCCCAAACTCAGAACCTTTGTCTAATTCTGCAGAAAATAGTGTCTCTTTTTTGTTCTAAGTCTGCTTCTTACTCCTCATGCTGATGACTGCAAGACCTTCAGCTTCTTGTCTCTTTTTTAGCAATGCTGAAACCAAACTGTTTGGATTAGAGTTTGTACTGAACTGAATTTGACTCTGATGTCCAACACCTGGACCGGCTTGCTGCCGTTTTCCAAAGCGAAATTCCATGTGAGACAATTTACAATATCCAGAGTCAAACCATACTGTTTCTGTACAAACCTCACAGTCAGTCCCTCTGGCACAGTAAGTGGTGCAGGAGGAGTGTACCAGGACAGACAGGAGCATCAGAGAGAGAGCAGCCCCTACCAAATACAGTCAGATAAGGGAGAGTGGGACAGTGTGTCCAGGCTCACTGAGACCGGGATTGGGTGAGGGAGGTAGAGAAAGAGACAGATAAAGAGAGAGACAGAGAGAGAGAGGTGACTGGGAGACAGCACAGTTAGCACTGGATTTCCTTCAGCTTTTCCACCTCAAGTAGTCAGGCTTGTTTAGACACCAAGTGTAACTATTTATTTAATATCACAGTTTGGAACATAACAAATGCTGGGAAGATTTCTTTGGAGGAAAGAGTTTTTCTGTTCAGTTAAACAGTTCCTGGATGAGCGCAGCTCCAATGAAACTCGAGTAGCTCTCAATATCATCCAGGACAAAGCAGTTCCGGCTCCGCACTCCCTCCACCATCAACACACAGTGAGCAGCCATGTGCACCATCTACAAGATGTACTGCAGTGACTCACCAAGGCTCCCCCAACAGCACCTTCCCAACCCCTTCCATTATCTCCAAGCACAGTGCACCTCAAACACTTTCTCTCTGTGATGCCATTTTGAGGCTTGTAAATTGTTGTGTGCCCCCCCATCCACCCCTCAATGGTCATGTTGGGGGGAGGGTGGGGCGGTGACCTGTGGGAGTGAGTTATCTGGGCGGGGTCAGGGGGGTGTGGGAGAGAAAGCTGAGAGAAGGGGTGAGGTGGGGGTGCTAGGTCAAGGGGTTCTCTGCACCAACTGACCAGCAGCTCCAGTAGACCAACAGCTCAGAAGTGTGGACTGCCAGGATGACAGGCAAGGGGGTGCCATGGGTGCCAGGAATGTCACAGCATTGGGTAGCCCCTCAGCAAGGCCAAGGAGGTGGGGTCTGGTGCTTTGAGAGAGCTGGAGGCGTGGGTAGGTTTTAATGTCCAGGGAGGAAAGGAGGAGAGGACTACCCACTGGGAATGGACAAAGAAAGGTAGTACTGACCTTTCCTGCTGCCAATTTCAAAACATTTGATAAAGGGCTGCCCACACTTGACTGTGCCAGTTTTATTCTGGCATGGGCAGACTATTGTTTTTAATTCATTGCCCCTCCCTAATCGCCCAGAGGGCAGTTAAGGGTCAGCAAAATTACTGTAGGTCTGGAGGCACATGTGATCTAGACCAGGGGAGGGTGGTAGATTTCCCTAAAGGGCATTAGTGAGCCAGATGGGTTTTCCACCCATTGGCAACACTTTCATGGTCATCATTAAACTCTCAATTCCAGAGTGTTGATTAATTGAATTCAAATTGCACCATCTGCTGTGGTGGGGTTCGATCCCAGGTCCCTGGAATACTACCTGGGTTTCAGGATTAATAAATTATTGCGAATACCACGAGGTCATCCCCTCCCCGACTATTGGGTTTAATTGAGCTTGTAGCAAGTAAAAGTGGCCCTTAATTATTTATTTGTGTACAGTGGGTGGGTTGCAGGTTTCAGCACCTATGCACCTCCCGTATCATGAGTGGGAAAGTGGCGGGCTGTGCACCCACTAGATTTTATATACACCCTACATCCTGCAAAAAACACCCCCACAATAGCACATAGTGCAGCCATAGACAGACAGAGCAACTGGTCCAGAAATATCTTCCACTGCTGAAACTACCAGCTGGATGTTCGAGAGGGTCAATGCTCCCCTCTCAATGCCCCTCAGAGTGAGGGCTCAGGAAATACTGCTGTCTCCGACAGCTGTTCAGAAGGATTTCAAAACAGAGCCCAGCTGCAATGCTGTTCATACACGAATGGTCCAGGAATGCACTGATGGCCTAATAAGACCTTCTCTAAAATCAACCACATTCCATGGCACAGCATAGAGATACCCACACTCATTCGTCACTCATTCCATGCCAACTCCAAAACAAAGAAAACACATCAACCGGGGAACTGCCTCTTCACAAGTCAGGACAGCAAAACTAGAAACAGTTTGAAAAACTGACAGACCTGTCCCCACCGGTACTGTGCCCCAGTGTTATACAGTGACAGACCCGTCCCCACCCAGTACTGTACCCCAGTGTTATACAGTGACAGACCTGTCCCCACCAGTACTGTGCCC